TATCACATCTTTCTTTCATTTCTGAACCCTGGCTATAGTTCTCTTCTCTAGAGATGATGAGAACTGGCATTTGCTTATGCATGTTTCTGGAGATATTCTTTTCATAACGGCACAAATAGTACTATAGTATGTACCATTATTATTTGTATAGATGCACTACCAGACACCTTACTTTCCTTACTATATCTTGGAGAGTCTTTCACGTTGGTCTGTAAAAAACTTTCCATTCTTTTCTTTCTTTCTTTTTTTTTTTTTTCTATTGTACTTTAGGTTCTGAGGTACCTGTGCAGATCATGCAGGATTGTTGCACAGGTACATACATGGCAATGCGGTTTGCTGCCTCCATCCCCCCGTCACCTACATCTGGCATTTCTCCCCGTGTTATCCCTCCCCAACCTCCCCACCCGCTGCTGTTTCTCCCCTAGTCCCCCGCAACAGACCCCAGTGTGTGATGCTCCCCTCCCGGTGTTCATGTGTTCTCATTGTTCAACACCCATCAATGAGTGAGAACATGCGGTGTTTGATTTTCTGTTCTTGTGTCAGATTCAAGATGGTTTCCAGAGTCATCCACATCCCTACAAAGGACACAAACTCATCGTTTTTTATGGCTGCATAGTATTGCGTGGTGTATATGAGCCACATTTTCCCTGTCCAGTCTATCATCGATGGGCATTTGGGTTGGTTCCAGGTCTTTGTTATTGTAAACAGTGCTGCAATGAACATAGACTGCATTTGTCTTTATAATAGAATGATTTATAATCCTTTGGATATATACCCAGTAATGGGATTGCTGGGTCAAATGGAATTTCTATTTCTAGATTCTTCAGGAATCGCCACACTGTTGTCCACAATGGTTGACTCCTTTTCAGGACTACATCATATTCTATAGTATGGATGTCTCATATTTGTTTAAGTAGTTATGTATCAATGAATATTCATGTAGTACCTTGTCTTTTGCTATATTATAATTGATAATTGCATATTCCTCATTTTCTATATTTAGTAGCCTATCTTATGGAATATTCTCAGTACTGGAATTGCTGGGCCAAAAGATATGTGCATGTTACGTTTTGTTATGTATATACCAAAATTATACCTGTTCACACTTCGACCAGCAATGTATCACACTGCGTGTTTGGGAGAATTTCTGAGTTTTTTTGTTAGTCATAACTGCGGTAGGTAGAATTATCCAATTGACTTTTTATTTTATAAAATTGATCTAGAATTGAAGGAATTAAGCTCAAGCCAGGGGTTCTCTGTCCTGATGATAATCAGTCATTGTATTTTTGAGTGGCATTTTGATCTCATGTATATCTAAATCCATAAAATAGCAACAGAACAGGAATCAATTGTGTTCTTAAAGCACAAACCTTTGGATGATTTCACTACTTGATGCAGACTCACACATTTAAACGGGAAGTTAAACTGAATGCCATAATCATATTATTTATAAAAGTTTTTGTTAAAAGTAATTTTGAAGGGATTTTACATTTGTTGCATCAGTCAGACTGAACCAAAAGGTTTGTTAATTATAAAAATTTTTTTAAAGTGATCCCCATCATAGTCTATAGGCCCTTGCCCTCTGCGATTTCCTCTGTGGAGGTCAGTCTTGCTTTTGCTGGCAGGAAGCTACTTGTTTCTCGATCTGTATGTCAGTCTGATCTGACACTAATTCCCAGGTCGTGGCCAGGGGTACTGGCGTCACATTATTTTACACCGCTTGCTTCGGTGTATCCTTGAGGTAGCCATGCAACCAGACTCCACTCTGGTGGCTTTCTCCTGATAGCTGCACAGGTAATTGCATTTGCAGTCTGAGAACATCTATTTCCAGAAGATCAGCCCCGTGCCCTTGAATCCTGCAGCACTTAATCAGAGCACTAAGAGAGCAGCCATCCTCAAGGCCTTGTCACTCTGGCTCTTGAGTCCTGCATTTTATACAAGAAACAGCTTAGTTTTTCCTGAATGTGTCTAGAAAAGAGAAACCCAACCTGCTCATAGACACGACTGTATTCTATGAACACAAGCTAATTTTGTGATTTTCACTAGACGTAAGTGTTGATGCCTAGGTTTAAAAAGAAAACGTACTCTGGATTTGTTAGAGACGATTGTTTTGGCCCTTTTCTCGAAGTCAGTGAAATAATAGTGTGATATTGGGGTAGAAAAATTCCTCATAGTTGAAATATTTTAATTTTGCTGGTGTTAGCTGCCAGTTGATTTGTTTACTCCAAATTGACAGTAACGCCACAGGTCACAAGCATCTGAGATAATTTTTGTGTATTTTGAGGTCTTTAGTCAATAATTGGTTAACAGTATCACTTTAATGGCCATGGAAACTTCCCCCTTTTGCATCACGGGTTGTCTATCAATATAAAAGTGAAGATATGTATGGTTTTAGAATTCTAAAGGGATTAGGATGAATTTTCATCCTGACATTATTGAATTTAGGACCTCAATTCTCTAACCACACGTCAGACTGTGCAGTAGTCCCTCTGCATCCACAAGTTCCACATCTGTGGATTCAACCAACTTTGGGTCAAAAATATTTGGAAAAAATCCAATACAAATTAAAAAAAATAAAAATAATACAAAGAAAAACAACACATGATAACAGTTATTTACCTAGCACTTAAGGTGTATTTGGTATTGAAAGTAATCTAGCGATGATTTAAAGTATACAGAAGAATGCGTGTAGCTCATATGAAAATATTATTCCACTTTATATGGGAGAGAGACGTGAGCATCCTCAGGCTTTGATATCCTCCGGGGTCCTGGAACCAGTTCCCCATGGATACCAAGGAACGACTGTAGTTTCCAAGTAAAATATGCACCCAATTTATTATCACCAGTACTGATACTATAAAATTACTCTAATTGAGCAAGTGAGAAGCGATTGTATTATGATCTGAAGAGCAATCTGTAAACTGCTAAAATATTGAATTTGTGATAAAGTGTCCTCGACTCTGCTTTAAGGACCATCGTTTGATCAGCAGCAGCAGCGGGGCTTCTCTACGGTGACGACAAGTTTAGCAATGCAAAGGGGAAGCCAAGACCTTGAAAAGCAAAAGGCATTTTACAAAATAGATTCCATCGTTAGTTGAGTTATTACATCTCTGAAAAGGGCAGGCTTCTCTAACTACCTATCTACTCCGTGACTTTTTTTCAGATTGTTGCCTGAGACTTCCTTGATTTTAAAAAAGTCACCATAATGATGATAAAAAAAAGATGTTATGTTTTCTATAAAAAATAGGAACTAGTGTTTCAGGCTATCCTTTTTCCTGTTTCCAAGCTGTTAATGGAGAGGAATTTCTTTTAAAGCCCAGTTCTAATGCAAAAGAGATGATTGCATTTTAACTGGCAGCCTGAAATGTTATCAGCTCATTTAGATGTAGAGTCTGTTATTTAAAGCTATTGTGTTTCTTTTTAGTGCTTTTTACCTCTAACATACTATTTTTAATAACCTTTTTTTTTTTTACCAGTTAACTAGGCAGCAATACTATAGCAATGCTGGTTAACACGCTGCTTAATCTTTCTTAATGTGAATTCATGTATTTTGGAAGTTGAAGTTAACAAATAATTTTAAAAAATCAATTTTAAAGATGATCCTTTGGTGCCTCTGTGGGCCATTCTAGATTGTGGTAAATAGAATTCAGTGCACAGGTAATCTTCTTTATATCCTTCATTATTTTTCTGAACCTAATCTCACATGTTATGTTCTTTTGTTGTTGTTTTGAGACAAGGTCATGCTGTGTCACCAAGGTTGGAGTGCATTAATACAAATACTGCTCACTGTAGCCTAGAATTCCTGGGCTCAAGCAATCCTCCTACCTCAGTCTCCCAGGTGGCTGGGACTATAGGCACGTGCTACCATGCATGGCTAATTATTTTATGGAAGATGGGGGTTTCACCACGTTGCCCAGGCTCGTCTCCAAGCCCTGGGCTCAAGCAATCTTTTGCCTCGACCTCCCAAAGAGCTGGGATTATAGGTGTGAGCCACTGTGCCCAGCCCACATTATATTCTTTAAGATTATTCTTCTAAGTATGATACTTTCCCTACCAAATGGCTAGTTGTTTCTGCTTCCTTTCTTCAGGTTCTTCCTGCATTAATTTTGTCTTTATGAGGCAAGGGGATATGTAATATGTAATGTTGAATGTTGGAAGTCAATGAATATCTTTATGCAATGATGTTTTTATGAGAATATTCCTTTGTCATTTAAACTAGTATTAAGGGGGCATCTTTATTTAAATAATTGTTAGTAGCTAGCTAGGACTCTGAGAGCTTACTGTTCATTAAAAATCAATTTCCGTATACACCATGCTTGAAAACGATAGTTCTACAAACATATTCTACATTTGGACTGAATCTACTAATATGTTATCCAGTGATTTGTTTTTATTAACTCTTTCCAGAGTTCCACACAGAAAAGGCTTATGTGTCAAAGTTTCCTTCTTTTTTCTAACCCAGATTTTATATCCCTTCTCTGTGTGTTTTTTTTAGATGGAGTCTCACTCTGCTGCCCAGGCTGGAGTGCAGTGGCATGATCTCAGCTAAGTGCAACTGCCACCTCCCGGGTTCAAGTGATTCTCCTGTTTCAGGTTCCCGAGTAGCTGGGACTACAGGCGAGCGCCACTATGCCCAGCTAATTTTTGTATTTTTTTTTAGTAGAGACGGGGTTTCACCATGTTGACCAGGCTGTTCTCTAACTCCTGACCTCAGGTGATCCACTCGCCTTGGCCTCCCAAAATGCTAGGATTACAGGCGTGAGCCGCTGCGCCTGGCCCCCTTCTCTGTTTTTAAGACACTTAAATTTTCCTGACATACCACTGGGATTTAATAACTTTATGAGGAGGCTATAGGGAACTTGAAGTTAAAAATGGAACGAGTAGTTAACCCAACTCCTTGCAGTCATTAGCAGGCAAAGTCAATAAATTTGTTATAGCAAATGCGGGTGTACCCTGTTGACTACTGATGTTATTGTCTTCATTTTCTATAATCATTTTAGGACCTGGTCAGTGCTATAGAAGCAAAAGAAGCCCTTGAGAGGGAAATTAAGCTCTTCCAAGAAAGGCTGCTTGTTGGCCAGCGGGTCTGGGATGCCTCAAAGGAGGAGCTGAGGCTCCTGAAGAAAAGCTCTTCTGAGTTGGAGAAGAGTTTGAAGGCCAGTCTGGATGCAGTCACAGCCTCACAAAGCCAGAACTCCTCATTTAGGGAGAAAATCGCAGCCCTCCTTAGGGGCAGATTGAGCACAACTGGGTCCACTGAGGACACCATTTTGGAGAAGATTCGAGAAATGGGCAGCCAGGAAGAAAGCAGGGACAGGGTGAGTGGGTCATGACTGTTTACAGACATCTTAAGAACAGTAAACTCATTCACTTAGCATGCTCAGTAAGTGACTGTATTAGTCTGTTCTCACACTGCTATAAGAAATACCTGAGATTGGGTCATTTATAGAGAAGAAGAGGTTTATTCACAGTTCCACATGGCTGGGGAGGATTCACAATCATGGCAGAAGGCAAAGGAGGAGCAAAGGCACATCATACATGGTGGCAGGCAAGAGAGGGGGTGTGCAGGGGAACTGCCATTTGTAAAACCATCAGATCTCCTGAGAGTTATTCTCTATCACAAGAATAGCATGAGAAAAACTGACCCCCATAATTCAATTGCCTCCCACCAGGTCCCTCCCATGACATGTGGGAATTATGGGAGCTACAATTCAAGATAAGATTTGGGTGGGGACACAGCCAAACCATATCAGTGACTTATCTCAATTAGCTAAGAGCATCATTTAAGGCCAGGGGTGGTCTAGGCCTGTAACCCCAGTCCATTTGAAGGCCAAGATAGTCACTTGAGGCCAGGCATTCGAGACCAGCCTGAGCAACATAGCACGGTCCCTCTCTCTACTAAAAATAAAAATTAAGTCCTAACTACTTGGAAGGCTGAAGTGGGAGAATTTCTTGAGCCCATGAGTTCAAAACTGCAATGAGCTATGATTGTGCCTCTGCACTCCAGGCTGGGCAACAAAGCAAACCTTGACTCTAAAAAAAAAAGGTACCATTTAAATATGGTTGTATTACTTTCTGTTTCAATAGTACTTAGAAAGGCATGGGAGTCCCTCAAGCAACATCTAACTAGGATGCAGATTCCGGAGTTGGACCTGCCTGGCGCTGAATCCCGTCTCTGCTGTACATTCACTCACAGGCCGTGTGAGCGCTGGCAGGTTCTTGAGATTATGGTCTCTTTTGTTTCCTTACCTGCAGAAAGGGGCTAGTACAAGGTCCACAACCCCTTATCTGAAAGTCTTGGGGCCCAGTGTGTTTTTGAATTCAGAATTTTTCAGAGCTTAGAAAGGTAATGCAGAGTGCAGCCTTCCACAGTGGTATCTGAAGTTCCCTCCTGTCAATCACAGTCACAGGTCTGCAGCAAAGCCCGTGAGCAGCTCTAAGTGGGATGAATGAAAACCATAAATAGCCTCTTGTCATTTTGGGTCAGGATTTGCTGCCCAGCTGGGTCAGGTCAGGCCAAGCTTTGTCAGTAAATGAGTTATGAAAAATCCTGGATTTTGGAATTACAGATAAAGTTTCCCAGACCTGTAACAGTATCTGCCTGATCAGATTATTGTTTAGTGTATGTACTGAAAGAAAAAAATTGTTATCAAGATCTTAACTCATTGCCTGGCAAGTCACAACAGTAAATATTAACTATTGCTGCTGTTGCCTCTCCTTCTTCCACCTTCTCTCCTCTTTTTCAAAATGTGTTGGTGCTCAGAACAGCCTTTTTGGGGACCTATCTAAGAAATGGAGAAAAATGGTTTTATTCACATATATGATTGATGTTTGCTTAACTCTGTCATCTTGTTTGTACTATCAAGAATTCTCTTTTTCTATAAAGCTTTACCTAGCAGAGTCCATTTCAACCCAGACTTTGGTTAATTTATCATCAAACCCAAATTATAGAAGTCCTAGTTAATGAGGCTTTAAAGTAAATGATCTCCAAAGTCCGTGTATAATTCCATTATGAACTATTTCTTCTATTGATGTCACGCTCACTTGAAAGGAGAACATGTGCTTTGCCTTCTTTTAGTGTTACTGAAATACTCAGAATAATCACTAACTCAAAGTTCAGGGTTGCATTTGTCAATTTCTTTTAGCGACAGTAAATTCCCTTTAAAAACTCTCCGAAATTCACACATGCTCTAGCAGCAACTCTAGCGGCCCCTTCAGCCAAGTGCATTTTCTTTCTCTTTGTGGAGATAAAATGTTGAGTGCTCATTGGCTGTCCTCCATCCTAATGTGTAGAGGTCTCTGCAAGTAACTTAGTTTTTCCTGTCACTCAGTTTACATAGAGGTAGTTGATTGAGAAAGAAAATTATTTATAGGTTTGGAAATAATCTTCATTAAGTCATTTACCTTAAATGCTAATAGTATACAGATGATTTCCAGCTCCTGAGAATTGAATTAATTTTTTTTTTCAACTTGTCAATGGTGTGAAAGTGATACACATCCAGTGGAAACTATACTTTGAGTACCCAAGCAACCATCCTGTTTTTCACTTTCAGTAAAGTATTCAACCAATTACATGAGATTTTCAATACTTTATTATAGAATAGGCTTTGTGTTAGATGATGTTGCCGCAATATAGGCTAATAAGTGTTCTGAGCACTTTTAAGGTAGGGTAGGTGAAGCTGTGATGTTGGGTGGGTTAGGTATATTAAATGCATTTCTGACTTAAGAAACTTTCAACTTACAATGTATTTATTGGAATACAACCTCACCATTAGCCGAGGAACATCTGTACTTCAATAGCTAATTATTTTTTGTTTTGTTTTTGCCATTTCATTTTATTGCTTTCTCCTTCTATATTTTCAAGTATTTTTCTAAAACTATTTTAATTCCTGCATGTGAAGCAAGGCACCCAATTACCAGCATGATGTATATGTTTATTTTCTAAAGCCAAATGATGTAAATTGGTTAAGCTGGGTATGCTTTCTCCCACTCCCCATAAAAATTAAATGATTCAGTCTTTTTAGTGCCTTTGTCTGCCTTTCCTACCCTGTAATTTTTTTCAATAGCTGCTCTCCCTATTTAAAAGCCTGAAATCAAGCATATAGCCGGTGTCTTGTGTGACTCATCTTCAAGTAAAATCAGGAGAAAATGGATTTCGTATATTGTCTTAGAAATGTCTCTAAAGAATGGGAGCTTTACAAATTGATGAATCTGTTTGTTGAGGAGGCTGTGTGTCCCTGCCAGCTGCCATGGCTACGCACACAGTCAGTGGCTGAGTAATACCGATGTGAAGGCTCTGTGGTGGGTTCAGGCTTGGCTTGGCACATTCTCCACTCCAGGCTGGCTCCTGCTTCCCCAGTGTTGCTTGTCTTGTTTACCCCTGTGCCATCCATTTCTCCTCTCCTGTGTTTGCAATTCTCCATAGAATTCAGGACACCACCCACACTTTGACATCACGTCATTTCTACTTGTTCCTTGCAATTTCTGCTTCTGGCAAGGTTTCATCTTCTTTTTAGAACCTTACTCTATAGAGCGAGGATTTTCAGCCTCAGAACTATTGGCATTTTGGACAGGATAATCTTCTGCTGTGGGGGCCTGTCCTGTGCATTGCGGGATTTGGAGCGGCGTCCCTGGCCTCTACCCACTCATAGCACTCCCCTTCCCAGTTTGTGACGACCACAGATGTCTCTAGACACTGCCAAATGTCCCCTGGGGGGTCAAGGTTGCCCCCAGTTGAAAACCGCTGTCTTAGAGGAATGTTCTACTGCCAGGTTCCCACGAATTCTAAATAAGTATTTAGATGTTACTCAGCCTTGGAATTTCAGGACACCATAGCAGATGTTTATGAAATAATGACTTCTTGCACAATGACAGAAAGTTACAACATTTTCAGATTTTACTTCAGAATTTCGAGGCAATTTTGTTGTTTTTCCCTTCCTTCCTTCCTCCCTCCCTTCCTTCCTTCTTCTTTCTTTCCCTTTCTTTTTCTCTCTTTTTCTTTCTTTCTTTCTTTCTTTCTTTCTTTCTTTCTTTCTTTCTTTCTTTCTTTCTTTCTTTCTTTCTTTCTTTCTTTCTTTCTTTCTTTCTTTTCTTTCTTTCCCTTTCTTTCTTTCCATCTTCCTTTCTTTCTTTCCCTCCCTGCCTCCCTCCCTCCCTTCTTTCTTTCTTCCTTCCTTTCCTTTTCTTTCTTTCTTTTCCTTCTCTTCCCTTCCCTCCCTCCCTCCCTTCCTCCTTCCTTCCCTCCCTTCCTTCCTTCCTTCCCTCCCTCCTTTCTTTCTTCCTCTCTCTCTCTCTCTCTCTCTCTCTCTCTCTCTCTCTCTCTCTCTCGTTTCCTAACCGCCTAATCATCTGAATGATACTTGATTAGGTATAGAAATTGACCATGACAATTTCTACATCTTTTCCCAAATTAAAGAAAGATTAATACAAGTTCACAAGCCTTTATCTGGACTGGGCTGTAAAGAACCTGAGATGCTATCATTCTCCTGCTCTGGTTGTTTTTTTTTTTTTTTGCGATGGAGTTTCACTTTTGTTGCCCAGGCTGGGGTGCAATGGCGTGATCTTGGCTCACCGCAACCTCCGCCTCCCGGGTTCAAGTGATTCTCCTGCCTCAGTCTCCCAAGTAGCAAAGGCACCTTCTTGCCTTTGAGTCAAACTCATTTGGTCATTATTTGTGCCACCAGGCCCGGGTAATTTTGTATTTTTAGTAGACAGGGGTTTTTTCCCCGTTGGTCAGGCTGGTCTCAAACTCCTGACCTCAGTTGATTTGCCCACCTTGGCCTCCCAAAGTGCTGGGATTATAGGTGTGAACCACCGTGCCCAGTCTCCTGCTCTATTCTTATTCTGCCACCTACTAAAGTGAGCATCTCCCTGGAAGCAGCAGCACACTTCCATTTGGGACATTTCATTGTCCAAAATTATGTTGCATGGTTGCTCCTGGCTACAAGGGCATCTGAGAGAGTGAACAGATAGAGTTTCCAGCTTTTCCAGCCTCTCCAGTTATAGGAGTTTCCTGGGGCTGCCATGACAAAATACTGCAACTGTGTGGCTTAAAACAGAAAGTTCTAGCCTCACAGTTCTGGAGATGAGAAGTCTGGGATCAAGGCACTGGCCAGGCTGTCTTCTTCTGAGCACAGCGAGGGGGACTCTGTCCACGCCTCATTCCCAGCTTCTGCTGGCCTTGGGCGTTCTTTGTTGCGGGGATAGTGTTCTTCCTGCGTCTTCACATTGCCTTCCTCTATGCATGTTTGTCTTTGTGTCTAGATTTACCCTTTTATAAGGACCCCGGTCATATTGGACTAGGGTCCGCCATAAGAAC